CCACAGCCTGCCTGTCTTCCTGCCGCTGCTGGGCCTCGACACGGGGACACTGGCATCCCACCGGGGTGCGATCCGCTAGGCCGCACAGGGCCGCTGCGCACACCAGGTCCGTTTCCACCTCTCACCCCCCGCAACAGCTCTCCCGACCCCCCAGGTATGGCCGCCCCAGAGCTCACTGAGGGCACCATCACAGTGGAAGGCCAAAGCCTCTTCTACCGCCGAGCCGAGCCGGCCCAGCAGGCACCAAAGCTAACGGTGCTGCTGCTGCACGGCATTCGCTTCTCCTCTGAGACCTGGCTTCAGCTGCGGACACTTGCCACGCTGGCTGAGAATGGATACCGAGCTGTGGCTGTTGACCTGCCGGGTAAGGCGTGGTGGTGAGCACAGCCCTGGAAAAAAAGAAAACCGTATACAGCTGCTCAGGTCCATGGTGCCAGGATGGCAACCCCGACATCGCACTGTGTCGGCTTCTCCCGGTCATGAGGCAGCAAACAGTGTGACAGGGCAACTTCTGTCTCCCATGGCTCAGGGCTGGGGCGCTCAAAGGATGCCGTGGCGCCAGCACCCGTGGGCCAGCCAGCACCAGGGGCTTTTCTGAAAGCAGTTTCGGAGGCTCTCTGCCTGGGTCCGGCCGTGGTGATCAGCCCATCGCTCAGCGGCATGTACTCCCTGCCTTTCCTCTTCCAGCACAACCACCTGCTCAAGGCGTATGTGCCCGTGGCACCCATCTGCACCGAGAAATTCACAGCAGAGCAGTACGCCCAGATAAAAGTATGGCCTGGAGGGAGATCGAGGGAGGTTGGGGAACTGAGAGGGGACGGTGAGGAGGGGCCACTGGCAATGGGACTGGGCAAGGGAGAGACCAAACAGGCCAGAAACCATGTTGCTGCTGGAAAAGGAGAACGTGATGGTGAAGGAACGTGACTGCAGGGTAGCAGGAGGGAAAGCGGGGACATTAGGAGACCCAGGAGTCTGAGCTCATTTTCCCCTTCTGGTGGTGGGTGGGGGAAGAAGGGCAAGTGTCTTCTTTCTGTATCCTGGTCCCAGGGTGTCCCCAGCCAGGAGGAGCGGATGCTTAGGTGCTGTTGGCAGGCTCAGGGTGCGTTCCTCCTTTGCAGACCCCCACGCTGATTGTGTACGGAGACCAGGACGCGGAGCTGGGGCAGGCCAGCCTGAACAACCTGCAGCACCTCCCCAAGCACCAGGTGCTGGTGCTGCGGGGCGCCGGACATGCCTGCTACCTGGACAAGCCCAGCGAGTGGCACCAGGGGCTCCTGGCCTTCCTGCAGCAGCTGGAGTGAGTGGGATGGGCCGTGTGGAGGGGGCCACGGGGCAGGGGGATGTGGCTAACCCACTCACCCCTCTGCCTGCGCACGCACCCTTGCACCAACCCAGCTGCTCACCTGACATCTCCAGCCAGCCCTGCCGTGCTGGGCGAGGTCCACACCAGCACTGCCACCTCCCTTGGGACTAAATAAAACCCCAAGGTTTGCCACCACTTTCCTGCCACCTTTCTCCCGCTTCTTTCCACCCTTCCTGCCTCCTTCGCCAATCCCCACCTCCTCTGTGGCCGCCATCCCATGCACGTTTGGAAGGTGACAGCAGGGGAAGTGCAGCCACCAAGGGACGGGACATTTAGGGAATGTCGTGTGGGTTGGTGAGTGCCAGCTGTGAGGCCGCTGGAGCCCACCCATCACCTCTGGCAGGACCCCCGGAGCATCAGAGGGTGCCCGGGGAGCCCTGGGGCTTTGTTCAGGAACAAGTAGGTCCCTCAAGGTGGTGACACCTGTGTCCCCAGGCTGCCTGCCTCCTCTTCATCCTCCTCTTCCTCCTCCCACCCCTCCTGGCGTGCACCCAAGCCCAGGGTAATCCACAGGCGCTTAAAAGGGAACTGCCAGCCCTGGCAGGCTCCTGCCCGGC